CGTTACTTTAGCTAGCTACAAATTAGCTTTAAAGCTTTCTACTTTGTGTACATCAGTATAAAAACCTTATCTTATTACTTAATTTACACATTTCGTTTGTTAACGTTATATCAAGGGAGACAACTTTCATGGAAGAATGACTTCCCCTGAAATGTTTTTCAAAGTACAACGAATTCGAATTCCTGTTGAGGCGTCATAAATAAATTCAGCATTAATTCTCATGGGAAAGACATGAATCGAACTCCCACTGCATTTAACTTATTTATAATAAAAAAAAATATTAAAAAAACAATTGATGAAAAATAATTCAAAAATTAATATTAGCAATGAAATTCAGACTATTTTTGTCTATTCATGCTAGGTGTAACAAACAAAATTATGTCATGAAAACCGAAAACGTATTCGTGCTATACAAAAAAAATACGTAATCTTTATTCTTCATTTAATACATTGTAGAATAGCCATTATTCACTTATAAAGCAACCAACCTCTTCTTGTAATTCTCAATTAATGATTTGCAAATTTTAGTTGGTATTTTGTTCCATTCTTCTTCATATATGGTCTTCAGTTCTGGGATGTTTGTTGGCACTCTCGATTGGATTTGAATTTCCAAATAAGACCACAGATTTTCCGTTGGGTTTAAATCTGGGGACTGATTTGGCCATTTCAGGATATTTACATTATTTTTAGTAAGCCATTTCTTCATAGATTTTGCAGTGTGTTTAGGATCATTATCTTGTTGGAAGATCCAATCAGGAGGAAGTTCAAGATTTTCAACTGAAATCATTTAATTTGCTTCCAAAATATTTTGATATGCTGGGGCATTCAATCTACTATCTATTATTGATATGTTGCCAGTACCCTTTGCAGAAAAACATCCCTAAACCGTGATACTGCCACCACCAAATTTCACTGTTAGAACTGTGTTCTTTTGTTTGAAGGCATCACTATCTTTCCTCCATACCTGGTTACTAGAACTACATCTAAACAACTCAATTTTGGTTTCAACTTGTCATAATACTCTTTCCCAATGCAGTAATCCAGGCTTAATTCTATTTGATTCTTTATTTTCAAAGCATAGCAAAAATGATCCAGTAATCAGGTGTGTGCTTCATTATAGTAAATATTGACAAATATCAATTGTTCTTTAACATCTTGGGAACAGTTGATGAAATATTATTGGTGAGATATTTCTTTGGTCCTGGATTCTGACAAGATATCTTTCAAGAAATTTGTTCTTACTGTGTAGCAATGAATCAGATAGTGATTTAAGATATTATGTTTAATCCAGTAAAATATGCCACATGGATGGATGACATCTAAACCAGCTCCTTCTCTAGAGTTTCTGGCATGTCACCTCACATGATGAAAAATAAAACCTGTCAAAATGGCCAATACACACACACACACACACACACACACACACACACAAGCCTTGAATGATCATTTTCCTAGAGATGGATTACTGTGAGTTGAGTGTCAATAGGAGCATCTGGCTTTGTAAAAGCTTGCATCGAATCATGACAAATCCACTGTCAGGCAGGACCCACCTTGCTTTGTGCATGATTAATCTTGGTTCTGCCTCAACAAAAAGAACATAGCTGTGTATATCATCCAGTTCACACTCTTTCTCGGTCTTTTAGTAGAGGTTTATCCCTTGTTTCCTGTTTAGGATTGTGTTTCTGGTTACTTCTAAAGTCTACTTCAGCTCTATACACCTAACTCTTGTCCTTTCCTATGCATGCAGTAACCCTCTACCTTGAGTGGTTCTTGGGTCTTGTATTGGGTGAACATTAATATAAAAGAAATGTATGTAAATGATAAGAGCAGTAAAAACAAGGACTGTCATGGAGCAGCTGATGAAATAAGTCACTCAGATGATGTCACACAAAGATATACTGGAGCTGAGGCAGGATTTCCGCCAGTCCTGGATAAGTCATGGAATTTCTTTTGTCTTGAATTTGTCAGAGAATTTGCCATTTTGGTGATAATGTCCTGGAATTTGTCACTCTGTATGCCATTTCCTATAATGTAATCTTCAAATTGATGCAATGTGATCTTGAGATACAATAAAATGGATAAATACTGGAAATTTGAAGAATTCTTATTTCAGATTTTTCTAAATTGAGAGGCTAGTAGGTGACTATGTATCATTCTCTTTTGATTTCCTTTCAAATATCTGATAAGCAAGAAACATACCTTATTGATAATGTTTCATTTTTAAAAATAATTGGCAGACTAACAAAAAGAGTTTTTTCATACTATGATTAGTGGGAGAAGTTAACACATGATGATGATGATGATGATGATAATAATAATAATGGTCCTGTTAAGCACTTTATTTGGTGGCTGATGAAAGGCACCCAGTGTAGACTGAGTGGCCATTGTCAAATGTAAATATATGGCAGAATTGCCCAACAAACAAAATTGACAAAGTTTGCAATAAACAAAAAAAAAAAAACAGGGCAAAAACTAATATAAAGCAAGCAAACAATATACACAAGGCAAATTAACAGTAATTAAGGCAAAGCAACAGTAATTAAGGCAAAGCAACAGTAATATGACAAAAAGTTCACAAATTAAGAATTGGGGTTGACATACAAAAGCAAGTTCAGATAAGCGAATGTAGCATTCTGACTTCAAGGCATGACAAGCTGGGACTGAGTCATATGAAACCAAGAATGGGCCTATTTTAGTATGCATTTGTGTGCTTCTACCTATAAATTGGGGAGGGGAAAGTGTTTTGCAATCATTCCTAGTCAGAATTCGAACCAATAACCAGCTTCATTCAGCTTATTGCAAGTTATGTAACTGTACTGTAGATGCATCATGTTTGAGAAGATGTTTTATTTAGTAATGCTAAAGCTACGAAGCATCATAAAAAAAGGTTCTGTTTAATAAAGCTAAGTTTATTCCTTGAGGAATAAGAATATTTTAAGGAACAGCTTTCATTGATTGCATTCCTTTTAAGTTTCCCTTTGCAAAATGTTTCAGCAATTGACCTTTTTTTAAGGAATATCAAAGAAAATAGTTTGTTACATTAAACCTTGCAACATATTTACATTATTACAACACATGTCAATTAAACTATGTTTTACTTTCATTTATTTTGCTTTTGTTAATTTGTCTCAATCTGTTTGATTCTTGTATAAACTTGTTGAACGCAATAGTGTCTCTTAAGTGTTGATTGTGCTGATTTGGAATCAAAAACTATAATCTTCAGGCAAAACTGTTAATTTTCATAGAGAAAGATAACAAGACATGCTTTTAAAGACTGATTTTTATTATCAGTTCTTACAATGTATTACATGGGTTATGCTATTTGGGCATTGTCTTGATTATCCTGAAATTTTCTGATTTGGTCATGGAAATGTCCTGGAGTTTTCTGGTGAAAATTTTGTGGGGATTTTGCAAGGACTTGTGGGTAAGTGTGAGGTTTCAAGATAAAGTATTTTCACTATTCCATATGTTGATTCTTTTCTTTTTTATCCAGACAAATATCTCCATCTTTTTGTTGCTTTTAGCACAATACATTATATATAATCTCAAGAACAGTATTGAGGAAATTGTAAGGCAAAATGGAAAAAGTTTTGTGATGCATTTCATCCTCCAATGAAGTCTAAAGGGAGAAACACATAACAAATAAAATTTTTCAATTTTTTTGTGTATATATATATATATATATATATATATATAATGAGAGATGGATATGTGCTTTGGTCAACGGCATAACCAGGGCCAGTAGTACATACTCTAATTTTATATATTGTGTATGATGCAACCCTTTTAAAATTAGCTTCAAAGTCACATGATACACAAAAAGGATGTATTACAAGACAACATACTAAATGCATTAGTTGCTCGCCATATGTTCTGACTATAATTTTGATTGAAGATGAAAATATTTAGAAAGTCCTTTAATCACTAGATCACCCACAGTAAATTTACTTCCTACTTCTTACAACATTTTACATTTCTTGGCTGATCTTCTATTTTGGGGAATAACAAAAGTGTTGGAAACATAAACAAAAAGAAAGTAAATGAAATTGACTATACATATTTATAAAAAGAAAGAAAAATTTTAATTACCAATCTCCTCTTTGCTTTGTGCATATGGGTTGCCACATCTACATAATCATCACTTTAGTCTGATGCAGTTCTAAAGGGTGAAATGCTTCATGTGAAAAGTTTTTTCCACTATATATATATATATATATATATATATATATATATATATATATATATATATATATATATATAGTATTGAACTCACTGTTCCATGTGTCATTGAGGACACATGGCACAGTGGATAAAGGTGTTAGTTACATCCCAAAGAGTATGAGTTCAATACCTGGTTAAGGCGGTGGAGAACTTGGAGAGGGAATTAACAGGAGATAACTGATTAACTGACATCCATCACACATGACATGTGAAACAGTCTACCCCAGTGAGCAAAATAAAGGGTTCAGTTCGACATTCCATCCAACCACCTGAAGAAGGAGCGTACAATGGCCGACATGTTTTAATAAATATGGTGACAATGATGAGGACAATAGTCTGAATAATGTAAATAGTGTACATAATACCTCATCTCAGAAATATAGACAGATATATATATATATGTGTGTGTGTGTGTGTGTGTGTGTGTGTGTAAAATACAGTAAGTATTTAATCTTAGTACTTAAAAGTCACATGTAGTAAGTTGAAACAAAATAGTTGGATAAGTAGAAATTATGCCATGAGACGTATGTTTTAATTTTGTCTAGTATTATTCCATTCATATTCCAGAAAGTTTAGCAACCAAAAATATCTTGACAAAGAGCAACAGAAAAGATTGTATTAATAAAAAGTGTGTTGTATTAACTATTGAATATCTATTTATATTTACATTACAAACAATTGACTTAATTGGTCATTGCTGAGAATTTTAACTTTTGACCAGTCTCCTTGCATTACTTCTGATTAAAATATTTCTATCCATTTTCCAATCATCTTTTCAGGTCCCTGGACAAAAATTAACAGATACTGTGATAAAATTAGATGGAAGAGGAGATTCTCAATTACAGAAGGTAAAAAGAAAAAACAAATTACTTTTACTGATTACTTTTCTGTCACATTTATAATGAAAGTTATTATTAGTTCCTGTTAAACTAAGCAAAGGAGATAAAAGCTTCTTTTTTTTTCTTTTTCTTTTTTTTTAACTGCTGCTGCCTTGAAACCAGCACCACCGAGCGACTGGGGGTGGGGAATATAAATTTTTATTTTTAAATTCAAGTTTCTGGTTATTATCTATGAAACTTTTTGGCTGTGATCAAAAATGGGGAATAGTTATTCCTTTCTCACTATTAACTTGAGAAAATTGAGATAGAAAGTTAATTTGAATTTAAAAGAAAAAAATAATAGTGTTTAGAACTACACACCCACACACACACATGTGGATACATACTTGATATCATGTATACCGCCGCAAAACTTCAATTTCTTGTGAGTAGGGTACATTAGCAATCATGTAGGATGAAAAGTAAGACCTATCAAAAGGTGGAAGAACACTTGATGAATCAACAGTCAGCTAACTAGAAGTGTTTCAATAAATTACTGTGGAGAAGACAATGGAAAACCTCCACTATCAATCAAAAATAAAACTCATTATTAGCATGAAGGGAGTTAAGTCTAGTAGAATTATCTCCTCACCTTGTAAGGAGCAACAGGTGTCACCTGACAATCATCCAGTGACTGTTAGCAAAAATGGTCTAATTGAAGTCAAACATTGACTAATTGCTTTGAACTTTATAAAATGGTAAATAAAGATTTCTTCATACCTGGTTCATATATTTTAATAAGTTAGTAAATATTTATAAATTTATGAATAAAAGATTGTTTTCATATTTCTTTCTTTATAAATTGGTAAATGATAAATATTGCATTCTACTGGTTTTTAGAATGTAAATATAAAATTATTCATGTAAATAAACAGTGTTTAATATTTTTGTTGTAAATCCTCAAGACCAAAAACAAAATGTATAAATTCCCTTTCATCATATGTTTAGGTTTTATTCCAATTCTAAACATCACTTTTTAAAACCAACATTCCCCACGAGTGAAGGTAGTTAAAATAATAGTGGTGTTAAGGGACGTTTCATTTTTTTTTTTTTTTTTTTTTTTGTGAAAAAAAGACTTGAAAATGAAATTGTAGGTGAAACATGTGAGGCACCTTGTTACTCCAAGACAGAAGGTTAGAGAGGGTAAAGATCATCTTGAATAAGTTGGAAAATGATCTATGGGATGATGATAATATATATATATATATATATATATATATATATATATATATATATATATGTGAACTTTATTTCAATCGTTCATTAGCTTCTGCTCCTTAGCTATCATTAATTGCTGATGAATTTCATTTTCGTTTATGACTGATTTTATTATGTTACTTCTGTTGAACTTAGGAAGTAGTTATACATTCTTATTACAGAGAGTCCAAATGTGTTATATAAACCTCAGAAAATTACAGTAAGATATCTTTAATCATTTCTAAGATACAATGGTTCAGATCTTAATCTAACAATTAAACAATTTTGTTGTTACGCTTCAGTATATATAATAGATTCATATTGTAATCTATTTTTAGCATTAAGTTTTGTGTTTTTTCCATTAATTTCTGTATGAATTTCTGGGATGAGGAGTTATTATTTTTTACAAGTGGACTATTGTCCTCATCTTTATTGTTATTGCAACATTTTGGCCATTATACCTTTCGTTTCTACATTATTCTTTCCATTACTGGGGTAAAAAAGTGTTAGGACATTTATTTTTAGATTTCTATCTTGTTCACTAAACCAAAATTAATCTTTGGAACTCAATTCACTTTTGTTCTTTTTTTTAAGAATGAAAATTTGTTATCTGCAAATCCTGTTGAAAACTTTTTTGGTGAGAACCCTTGGTTAAAACTGGTTAGTGACTTGGGTGAAGATTCTTCAAGAATACTTAATTCTTTCTCCATAAAAGAACTACACCTTAAGGTAGGTGTCTTTTTTTTTTTTTTTTTTTTTTTTTTCCGCACAAAAAAGAAAGGATTGTAGCAATAACAATTTTGTGCGATTGTTTTTCAATGTTCAGATGATGAAGGTAATGCTTCAAAACCTTCTTGGAAGTATGGGATTTAACAAATTAATCACATGAACTTTTGTTGCTATTTCAGTGTTTATTTACATCATCCTTAGAATATAATCTCTCTCTCTCTCTCTCTCTATATATATATATATATATATATATATATATATATATATATTGTGTGTGTACATATATAGAAAAATAGGAAAGAACCATGAGGTTAATAATCCAAAGTCTTTAGTATTTTTGTTTTATTTAAAAAAAAAAAACAGTGCTCAATACACAAGTAGAGCCTATATTATAATTATTTTTTTAAAAATATGAATCATCACTACGTAAGAGTTCTCATGTTTCAAAAACAGAATCTAAAAACTTCAATTCAATTACAAAAAATAAAGTACCTAGTTCTGTTTCATCCTCAAGTGAATTTTGGAATAACTAATTTTGAAATTTACGGAGCTTTATTAGCATATACATTTGTAATATTAATTTCTATGGATATGGAGAAACCAATCATTTTAATAAGGAGCGGTAGGATATTCATTTTCACTGACAACTATTGTATCAACATATTAGTTACTTTAGAAAAGAGGTTAAGTCAAGGTAGGGTCAAGGTGCCTTTTTTCAAACAAATGATGACATCCGTTCAATGCATATCGTCTGGTCTATTTCAATGACAGAAAGTTTTTGGCACTTTTGTTATGTTGTTAAATGTGTACTTGTATATATAAAGATTTTTTTTTTTCTCCTAAAAGGGTTTGTATATGAATACGTTGTATTAAACTACAGTGTGTGTGTTTTTTTTTTTTTTTTTTTTTTTAGCTTATGATTGGGTCAAGTTTTAAACCTAGTGTTTTAATTGAACTTGTTTATAGACTTTGAAATTTTACAAATTCTTAAGCTAATTATTTAAGGCAAATGTTAGTTGATGTCGGCAAAAAACTGTTATCTCATGTCTTTGATTTAATAGATTTTCGTTTTTAGAAACTTAATGTGTAGTTTTTCATGTAGGCATAAATGGCATGAGTCATCACAGATTTTACAAGTTCTTGTTGTATTTATTATCTTCCATTTTACTTTTGGTGTTTTATTCGTTTCTTTTAAATGCCAAAAATATTTAGATAGGGATGTCTAATTTCTATTTCTAATATTATTGAAGGAGCTTTTGTGTTGTCTTCACCTTATTTTAAATTCATTCTTCATGGATCCTATATATATCTTTTCAATGTTTGGATTCTCAATGGATGAGATTGTGCTTTGGTATACCACAGATTCTATGTAGCATTTATTATCCAATTTATTGTGGAGTTCATGCTGATTCTTTTTCTCTATTGATGAGGGTATATTTTTAATTGTGGATGAAGAAAAAAAATTTTTTATGTATACAAATATTCAAATCAGTGGCCGAAAATGCTGAAAGATATTTTATCTTTAAATAGATTGCTAAACAAAGATCTTTCAGAGATCACAGTCTATTCTCTTATGTAACTCCTAGCTGGGGGGTAGAAGAAATGGATTCATACCTTTCCCAAGCATATTAGTGCGAAAGTGAATGCAACAAACTCAGCCCACTGAGTTTTCTTTCTGCACCACTAGGCATTACACTACTTGCATGTGCTTTCTCTATAAACTATTATGCTACCTGTACATAGCCTTTCTCTTACTGAATTCCAGTCACTTTGTATCAATTAGTGTTTTGAATTAACCTTCTTGGGAGTAATGCTTGTTTGAATTGTTTCCTCCTTTATTTGCATCTGAAAACTTTTTTTTTTCTAATTCCATTATACAGTATTATCTTTGAATGAAGACCAATCTTAGGTATGAGTTGATATGATATTTTTAAAGGTATTTACTAAGCTTAGCTTGGTCTAAACTCAGAGTCATATTTTATTATTGAGTCATATTCAAGACTTTTGAGAAACCCTAACAAACACTGAACACTTGGTGCAATAAAATTGTAATTGAAATTATTGATATTTTTACCCCTTAGACTAATTCTATTTACTTATTTTTTTTTTTGTTTTGGAAAAAAAAAATCATTTCAGGCCTGTAAGAAGCAGTTGCATCAAGGAAAAGTTTTACTGCTGTTTGCCATCTTAGAGACTGTTGACCTTTCAAGTATAGATGCTAGTGTTAGACTCCGGGACAGAACAGGTACTATTCTTTGACATTTTCAAATGCCAAAATAAAAATGTCTTTCATAACTAACAATGGATATATCAGTTTGTTTTGTTGTTTGTTTGTTTTTTAATTTGATTTACAGCTTTTGCTTCAGTAAATAAGGATTGGTATTGGCATTATCCTCATGATCAATGCTGAAGGACACTGACAGAAAAGGTGCTAAGAATGTGGATCCAATGGTACCCCTTTAATAGCCATTAAGAAGTGTGCTCTCAAACTGATGCCTGTTCTCTCTAAACTGTATAATAAATGCCTCACTGCCTCCTGCTTTCTTGCCTAATGGAAGTCATCATCTGGTGAACTGTCTGACTCCTCCAACTATCTACCTGTTAGCCTTCTGTTTAAGAAACTCCTAAAGGCTCTAATCAATGTTGAATTGGTTTATCATCTCTCATCGCAGGGCCTTTTCTCAGACAAGCAGTACAGCTTTTGTTTCTCCAGGTCAAATTGCTGATGTACTGGCAATAATTGCAGAAAGTGTCTATCATGCTCTAGATAAAACAGTGAAGCCTGGGCTGTATCATTGGACATCTCGAAAGCTTTTAAAGGGTCTGACATTCATAACTTTTCTCCACAAGCTGAAAAGTTATGGTATCTCCAGGCACATTTTTGAGCTGATCCAGTCATTCCTATCAAATCATGAAATGAAAGTTATCCTGAATGGCCACTCATCTACATCCTTTTGTACTAACGCAGGTGTCCACCACGGCTCTATTCTTGGTCCTATGCTGTTTTTAATCTTCATTAACGACTTTCCCGATGACATTACCTCTCAACCTAGTATTTACACTGATGACACTACCATTTACTCCTGCCTTGATAGTAAGGCAATTCAGTCCGACAAAGTCAAAATGACAGCTGATGTATAAAACAACCTCAGGGCCACAAAATATTTCTTGTCAATTTTAATGCCTCCTCCAAAACTAAAATTACTCGCTATTAATCATCTGAGAGACCTCTTTCTGCCTTCCATCAGTATGGCTGATGCTATCCTCCAGGAAAGTGACTCATTGCACCTCCTCAGGCTAATGTTCTCAGCTGACATGAAGTGGAGAGACTATATTGAATCTATTGCTAGGTCAGCTGCTAAGAAAGTAAGTCAGTTCACTGTGTCAGGAGAGACAGTTCTTCTCTTCAGAATCCATCTTGCATATCTATAAGTCTATCATTTGCCCATGCTTAGAATATTGCTGTCATATATGTCCCAGTGCCCCTGTTATTTACCCAGAGCCCCTTGATAAGATCTAGAGAAGAATCAGCAATATTATTGGTCCTGATCTGGTGACTCGGCTTCAGTCACTTGCCCACTGCCATAAGGTTGCCTCTCTGTGACTTTTTTATAAATACTTTTATGGTAATTATCTGGATGAACCCTTTGCTATGTTACCAAGACATTTTTCAATTTAAGCGCAGTACTAGACTAGCGTCGGGATCTCTTCATTTTTACAGTTGAGCTGGCTAGATGTAGCAGTAAATTCTATGCTAACAGTTTCTTTTCTTGCACTTCTCACTTGTGGAATTCCCTTCTGGCTCCATGATTTCCAACTTTAATCAACAAAAATTCAAATTCATTATCAATTACTATCTACTGTCCTCCTGATTGCTCTTTTCTCTTTTTACACATTACTAGTGTTTCTGTGACCCCTTGTGTGTTAGCGGTCATACTGCCTTGCTCGGGGGTGAAACCAATTGTTTTTTTTTTTTTTTTTTTTTTTTTTTTCTTTTTTTAAGTCATAGCCATTTTGCATTCACCAAAAACAATGCAAGTTGTGAATGAAAGTGAGAGCTACTAATATTCCACTTTGATATTTTTCACCTTTTCCAAAGTGACTCTTCTGGTATTATGGGCAGTGTCAGCAGGATTAAATTGCCCTGGTGGATAACTATAAGAGACAAAGAGACCAGAAAAGCCAAAGGGGATACAAGGAGGAAATGGATGAGATAAAAAGAGTGGAAAAATAGGAGGTGAAAAGTGCACAGATGGAATCAGTCAGATTTAGATATGGGTAGTTATGAAAATACTATTGGGTAACTGATAAAAGAATAAGCGCAGCTTTCCTTGCTACATCACTGATAGAGCCTTTTATATATATATATATATATATATATATATATATATATATTCATTTAGTAAGTGGATTAAATCTGACATATTTTTAAACATTATTTTTGATGGATACTTATATTTGAGTAGAAGCTATGTTTTTTTAAACAGTATTTTTTATTCAACTACATCTACCAGCCTGAATATTCAAAAAATCTTGTCAGAAAAATATGCATCCTCCAGCAGGATCTGATGTGCATAACTGCTCGGCCATAAATTACTGTTTTAAAAAAAAAGAGCTTCTACTTGAATCCGAGTTTCCATCAAAAAAATGTTTAAACAAAAATTAAATATAAAAAAATTTCTTTGTTTACGTTAGGATACAGAACAAAACTGATATGGATATTTTGAGAATTGGTAGAGAAGTATGTGTTCAAAAGGTACTATTCGGGCTTTGTTTGACTGTAAATCCTTCATGGCCAATCTTAAAATTTTAGAAGCCAAAATTAATACAAAAGAAATGAACAATATTAAATAAAATAGTGTTCTCCAAAGGAGATTGTATCCTGAAGTGTGTATAGAAAAGAACACATAGATATTTTAAACATGACTTTCCATCAAGCTATTATGAATGACATCACTTTGAACTGATTCTAGCTCTAATTGCAGCAATCTAAAACATTAGAATTCAGTCAAATAAATCTTGCTTAGCAATACTGATAACACTCATTCTTGACAATGGCCGTGATAGTTGAAAGTACTATTTATTCATAACTCAATGTACTTTCATTCAGAAATTAGAAAGATATAATAAAATATTGAATAGACAAATTTTACTGGTGGAATTTAATAAAACTTGTTTGGATGAATTCTTGCTGTCTAAATACATCCAGTGCCAGATTTACCTATAGCCTTAGCAGGCTCAAACATGGGACCTCAAAATCTAGGCAGCCTCCAGCCAAGGTGTATAATATTTTTGACACTGTCATAGTCTTTTTTTTTTTTTTACACATGCTGTCATCACACATTATAAACTCTAAATAACTCTTCATTAATTTTAAATCATCACTATCCTCGGCTTTACTCACATTGTTTAATTTAATCCTCTTCCATTTTCCTCTACTAGTGACAATGGGAAATTTGGAGGAGGCCTCACAAGTGCTATAGCTTAGGGCCTTTCTTCATCTAAATCTAGTCCTGAATAAATATTATAGATATGTAGCATGACCCTTCAATATTTTTACTTATTAACTACATAAATGAATGTTCTTTTTGAAAGGTTTTCTTTTTTTTTTCCTTCCAGGTTCAATCCAGGGTACAATTCACAGAAACCTGGTTAAAGAATATGGGGAGCATCTCCAACCTGGTACGGTGCTGGTGCTGAAGCAAGTGGGTGTCCTCAGTCCCAACCCGCGAACCCACTACCTTAATATTACAGCTAACAACCTAGTGTCTCTTTACAGCACCCTAGCCTCTGGTCAGGTGGGTATCCACTGGCAGGAAGAAGGAGTGACTTATCATCAGCTGGTAACAAATGCTGAAAGGTTACAAAAATCACAAACTTTGACGTCACCTGCAAGACTTCCTTCTCATATCAGAACACCTGTCCAAAACCCACTTGTTAAAAACCTACCTACAGTGAACAGACAACCTTTGCCTATTCAGATGAACCCTTTACGAAATATTGGTACTGCAAATAATTCTTTATCAAACTGTCAATCAAAAGTCTGTGATAAAATTTCTAGTTTTCCTTCTCAAAAAGTGGTTGCCCCCTTTGCAACCCCAAATTCCAGTTCAAAATCCCGGCATCAGCCTTTGAATAGTAATCAAGAAGGTTCTTCATTTTTAGATAAAGAACCCAGTAAACAACATCAAGATGTTTTACAAAATAACAGATCTCGTTGGACTTTCAAATCAAATACCTCTCTTTCTAAACCAATTTCAGGATCGTCATCATCGTCATCAGCATCCTTTCTCAGTGTTCCTGGTCCTTCAGCATCAAATACATGTGCCTTGAATTCCTCTTTGAACTTTGAGTCATCTTGCCACACTTTTGGGAATAAGATTTTAAAAGATCAGGTAACAGTTTCTGCTGGTTGCTCCAGGAATGGCGTCAGCGTATCTGTCTCAGCAGGAGACAAATATCGTCTAAGGGCAGATAATTGCCCAAACACAAACATCACTAACCCTACAACCACCATTGAAGACACTTCAAACATGTCTGATATTTGGCAAGATGGTATGTACAATGATGCACAATTAAATTATCTTTGTTGTTTTTATGAGTTTATATTTGTCAATAAACCCATAGCATAATGAAAAAAAAATAATTTCCAGCATAATCTCCTTCCTTGTTAATGCACTTAACCCAACACTTCTACATTAATCACATTAAATATTATACAATGAAAATTTCAGACAAAAATTAATTTGTCAGGCTATGGACTTATTGATGCCCTTTTGTATGTAATGTCAGGCTATGGACTTATTGATGCACTTTTGTATATGTAATAACTTTGTTTAGTCTGGTACAAGGCCATAAAAGTGGTCCACCCAGTTAAAATTGAAATTCCTAACATTGCTCAACCCAGACCTCAAATACAATCCATTGCTAAAAATGCAGAAAAAAATGGTCAGTTCCCTGTACAGCTCTAATGAGGACCTGACTCCCTGTGCTATCCTAATACATTTGCAAGAACCCAATCAGACCTAAAATGGATTACTGCTGCCAAGTATGGGCAGGAGCTGCCCAGTCCTCACTTTCCAGTCTTGATAGAATCCAAAAGCATCTCTGTCCTTGTGGGTGACAAATTATTTTCAACCCTGCATCCCCTCTCTCAAGACGGGATGTGTCAAGCTTCTCGCAGCTCTATCGCTACTTTCATGGAAAGTGCTCAGATAAACTGCATTCCTTGGTTCCACCAGGCCTAACCTTCACGGCTAGGACCCACCAGGCTACATGCATTGTCGCAAATCACTCTCATTCCCTCCATATTCCGTTAGAGAGAAGTAAGTTCCACTCAAGCAGCTTCTTCCCACAAACCACTGCTCTGTGGCAAGAGGATGTTTTCCTGATCACTACAATCTTAACCAGTTCAAATCTAGGTTCAACTGTTATCCTCCCCACCTATCTGCATAAACTGTGCCTCTTCCTCTGTAACCGTCCACCTCGAGTGGCTCCCGAGCCTTGTACAAAGTGAAGCTCACTTTAAAAAAAAAAAGCTTCATGGAAGGCACTCTCTCTCTCTCTCTCTCTCTTTTTTATATATATATATATATATGAGAATAGTTTTACTATATGGGGATCATAGATTTTATTAGTGTTTTTGTTATGCATGAAACTGGCTAATTAGCCACCCAACAATTTATGCAGTCAGCAAAATCCTATTTCTCAACAAAGGAACATACTACAATGGTTGATGTTTTCATTCTTATTTATAAATTTTATTTTAATCATTTCACCTGAAACAAGGTGATAATGCCACTAAGATGCAAGGAGCTACTGTGAATGAAAGAAAACGCGAAAACTTTAGAAGCAACTGGAAATCCAATTCTAAATGGGGAAACAAGGGATAAAGCTCTTCTTTTGTTCAAAAGACCGAGGTAGAGTTTGTACTGGACGGTAGGCAAATCTATCTACTACTATTGCCCCCTATCAGTGTGGAGACTAATAGATTTCTTTGCACTTGGACAATCTTTTTTGCACTGTAGTTTTGACATTGTCATCATTTCAAGAGGCTATGCTCATTTGAGAAATCCTACCTGTATTTGGAGGATGCTAAGACAAGTGATTGTGAGAAAACTTGTGGTTGGCCTTGTTGCACAGCAAGTGGATTTTGTACAATTGTAGGTGTTTGCATCAGCCACATTTTGCAGCTGCACACAATACATGTTTAACAATAAGTCTTGTTCGGATGAAGTAGTTCCTAGTAAACAATACCTAAAAAATAAATGTAGCCTATTTCTAGTGGAACTATGATTTTGTCAGAAGTATAATCTGTCCAGCTATGTTTAGATGTTGGGTTGAGATAAAGGCCCCAGATTTCATCATCTGTGATGTTGGAGTTTATCTATATATGTGCATATCAAAGAAATGTGAATCAATGTTGATAATGTGATTCATCCTAACTCAGTTCTAGTGGTTGTCCATTTCAAGCTCAGCTCGGACTCTCTTCTTGCTCTAACTGCATGAACCCAACCCATCAGTCAATAAAAACATTTCCAGTTGAATATCTGAGTGTCATAAACAATTGAGTGTGGCATCTATTGTGTCATACCTGGATATGCCTGTCCTCCTTGGCTATTTCATGTCGTACATATCTATTCACTTGCCAGCACTTGATTCTCAGTGAGTTATGCTTGAATTTGGTCCTCAAAGGGTGTTCTTGTATTGTGACCTTGTGCCAGACCAGCTCACCAACCTATTTTAATTCCATGAGGTTCTTTTTTTTTCTATAGTTGTTCATGAGCTTCACCTGCTTGACAATGGAATCCTAGATCTTTTGCTTTTTCTATATCAGGTGTTTCTGCAGGTCAGTTGTGGAAAATGATATAAAGTGAGAATTAACAAAAAATTTTATTTCTTTTCAGAATTAACAGATGACATCCTGTCTCAACTGTCAGACGACCTTTTCTGATTGACCCAGTTGGCTGATCACTGGTGACTTTAAAATCTGCCCTCATCTTTTCAATCAACATTGCTTTATGGGTTCAATAAAAAAACAAAACTTGAATCATAGAAAATTCAGTGTCTTTGGATTTCTTTCTATTTTATCTAATGGTTGATGCATTTGATCAACTTTGTAGTTTTCACCATGATTCTCACAACATATGATGTTCATATGGCAGAATGTCCAAGATAAAGCAGTAAAGAAAAGTGAGAAGAAAGGACAATGCAAGAACAACATTCCAAATTACAAACTACGAATTGGAGCTAATAGTCAAATTTCTGTATTGGCTTGATTCTATCTGGAAAGTATTATAATGGACAATGTGATGCAGAAACCCGAAAGTGTATTGGCATAGCCAAGATGCTTTCCAAAAGCTAAGCAAAGTATTAAGAAACAGGAAAATCTTGTAAGGAACAAAGAAAAGAATTCTGAACTGTTATGTAATATCAGTCCTCTTATCTGGCAGTGAATAATGGATAATTTCCTCATGAAGAGGAGGCAACATGTTTTACAGAAGAATGATGAGAATAGGACATGTGAGCAATAAGGAAGTTTTAAAGAAAAATGGGAGCAAAAAGGACATTTGAAATCAGAAAGAGACAGTTGAAATCTTTAGGAACACTTAAGGAAAGAACGCCTGGAAAATTGACACTCACAGAACATACTGAATGCAAGAGAGACATAAGGAAATGATGAGTGACCCACCTGACCAGCTTGTATTAATAGGTAGCAGACCATGAATTGTGTGTGATAATTAGGAGAAAACTTTACTTAGAGCTACAAAATGTTTGTCATCTTTCAATGCAGACAGTTGAATGGGATACATCATGCTGTTAGTGAAATATTGAACTCAAGACCTCTACACATCTGACGCACAAAGATGTATGAAGTAGAGCTGTCTTTACAATGATTAGCAAACTCATCCACCCATTCAGTAGTAAGGGTTTGTCTTATAATTACATTGGAACTAATATCCTCATCTTCGTTGTTATAACAACAAAGATGAAAATGTTAGTCCAAATGTAAATAACTCTTCATTCTAGAAATTCAGATACAAATTATCGAATTGGTACAAACATGATGTGATATAACAATGGAGATTATCGAAAAAGCTCCATCAAAGTTTGATGTGGATATTAAATCACCTGACATTCCTATACAGGTGTAGAGACCTAATGCTAGTTCCACCAGGTTTATCAATCAAAACATTTGGTTAATTTCAGGATTGTACAGAGTGTAATAGAAAGAGAAGGGAATGTCCTTTTAAGGGAAAGGTTTTTTTCACAACTGTTGGAAGAAACATCAACTTTAACAAGAACTCAGAAGGTTGCTACTCTGAAATGTTATTCTAGCTGGAAGTACTTTTCAGCCCATGTTATACTGTTCCTGATGAGGTCCTCTGCTGAGGGGTTAGCATAACATTAGCCTTCTCAAGCTGGCTAAGTTTTACAGTTTGGACTGACTTCCTGGGTTGGAGAATTATGCATATTTTGTAAAAGACATCAAACAGCATTTTTTTTTTCTGCTCTCCAAACTAGAAATATAAATTACTTTTACTTTTTTTTTTTTTTTTTTTTTAGCAGTATTTCGTCATCTTGGTCAATGTTGCAGAATTCTACTAATTGTCTCATGGGAGAAAGTGGAGAGAGTTTTATTTCTCTCTTGTCAGCTCAAACCACCAGTGAGGGACTTCCTCTCTCCAAATCCAATCACTAACTATTTTTCAACTTAAAATGGCTGCTTCTTTTATGAACTTTGCTGACTAGATTTAACAAAATTATATGCCAGCAAAATCAAATCATTAATTTCATTTTTACAAGGTTTACTTTAAGTTTCCTAATTTAGATTTAGGTGTGAGAATTTCTGCCAGAATTTTCTTTTTTTCTTTTGAGAAATAGATTTCATTAAAATCAATATCAATTTAAGGTTGCTAGTGAAAAAAAAAAAAAGGGACAGGGAATCTTTCCTCATGGAGTCAATCAGCTATTGGCCAGTAGGTAGAGGTAGGCACAAAGATCTACCAGTTAAACATCTTGCTGGATTTTTCTGAAGTTAAATTCACAATCTCCCAAAAATCTCAAATCCAATTAATATTTTGAATTAAAGAAAGAGGGAAAGATATATTTAAAAATTAAATGAATGTTCAGAGAAATGGATGTGTTACATATTTCATGCAACCAGAATTGTTCCTTTATAATGAAATACACAGGAAAAGCCCAGAGGCTAATGAAGCCACCATGGACACACTTATCGACCACATTACATTCAATCAAACGACGGGCATTATACATCTAAAGACACAGGCCAGGTAATGGGGGGAGATTGATGCATATGTTGTTCTATTTCGCTCAAAAACCAGATCCCAGACAAGTTAAGAATATCCCCAGAAATCACAGCACTAGGATGATTGTCCAGATCTTCCACACAACCAGCCAGGTTCCTGACAGTGGGGCCACCATATGTCTCGGAGGACTTAAGCACCTTCTGAATATGGGGCTCTACTACCAACAACCTCATTCCATCAAGGAAAGTCGTCCGAGCTGTGGGAGGCTTTTTACACTCGTATGTCAGGGTTGGCTCCCCTGGGGTGGAATTCATTGTCCAAGGAAGAACAACTAAACAAGCCCTATACATATGCAAAAAGTTCCAGCGGCTATACTTCAGCAAAGCAGCCTGCATTGACGTAGGGATATTGTCGAAGACTTCCCCAAACCCGACGACTACAATATTACCCCAAGCAGCAATGCAACACATGCCCCTCGACAAGTACACATAAAAAATCAGGCGAACCCTAAACAATGCAAAGTCGAGGGACAACTTCCAACGCGCCCCACGATAAAAAGGCCCCCTTTTCCCCTAACAGAACAAAACATTGATAGGCTCAAGAATTGGCTATTGAATCAATTCGTCAAACGGCATTCAAAAATAATGGTGAATTCCACCAATGTCTGGCCCCACTGCTCATATACACCTCAAAGAAGGAGCAGTCCCCAAAGCCAGACATAACCCAATTCCTTGTGCCTTTTCACTCAAAAGAGCCCATAAGGCAGGCCCTTTGGGAAGATGTGAAAAGGGGTATCATAACCCCAGTACCCGTCGGCATGCCCACTGATTGGTGTAGCACTATGGTAATTACCGCCAAGAAAAATGTCAAACCACAAAGAACCATAGACTACCAACACTTGAATTCACAGTGCAAACGGGAAACACACCATACAGGGTCACCATTCCAGCTAGCACTACAAGTGCCACCTAAACAAAAGAAAACAGTGTTGGATGCTGTTGATGGATATCATTCCATCCCCTTAGATAAAGAGTCCCAGCCACTCACCACCTTCATCACAGAATGGGGAAGGTTCATGTACCTGAGGTTACCTAGCATCTGGCGATGCCTACACCCGAAGGTATGATGAAGTAATAAAAGACATCCCCCGCAAAGTAAAAATCGTAGATGACACACTACGACTCTGACATCGAAGGAGCCTTCTTTCACACCTTCGATTTCCTCTTCCATTGCGCAAAAAACGGCATCGTACTCAATACAGAAAGGTCCAATTTTGCCAAGACACTGTGCAGTTTGGGGGCCTCCAGATAACATCCTCTGGTGTAACCCCTTCTAAATCCATGCTGGAGGCGATATTAAGCTTCCCAATACCAAAAACACTCACCGATGCCAGATCTGGTCAACCAAGTCACTTGGGCATACTCACTGAGCCCAGTCATGCTTCCATTTCGTGATCTTGTAAAACGAGACTCACACTTTATATGGAATAAAAGCCTTGAGGATGCATTCCAGCATTCAAAGAAGGTCATAGTTGACTTAGTTCGAAAAGGCATTGCAACATTTGAAAAGAACGAATGACCTGCCTCGCCCCAGATTGGAGCCATGGGAGAAAAAAGACGGAATGGGCTCCTTCCCTGCGCTTCTACAGAAGTATTGCTCATCCACCACCGACAAAGCCCCGGTTTGCTGCCCTGAAAGTTGGCGCCTGATATTTGCTGGTAGCAGATTCTGCATTGATGCTGAACGCAGATATGCACCTATTGAAGGCGAGGCAGCAGCAATTGCGCGGGCATTGGAAAAATGTTTGCATTTTTGTAATGGGTTGCCGAATCTCATAGTGGTTACAGATCATGAACCATTGCACGAAAAAAGGATTATTCGGAGATAGACCTTAGTAAAATCCAAAACCCCGATTATTCAGGTTAAAGAAGAAAACCCTCAGGTACAGATTCACCATTCAGCACTGCCCTGGAAAATGGCACAGAGCCTCCGATGCTGTCTCTCGTAACCCAGCAGACATCTCACAGGCACTCCTAAATGTATTCACTGCTGAACCCTCTCAATCAGACATCATAGAGTCTGACAACATGGATGACTGGGTCAAATCAACAACCCTATTAGCAACATTTGGTGCAAATGCCAACCTGGAGCTCATCTCACCAGACGTTATCCGTGCGGCGGGACGCAGCGACCTGCAATACAAAAAAAATTAATTGAGGTAATATGAAATGGATTCCAAAGGACGCGCAGCCTCACTGCACCCGAAATCCGCGAATACTGGGAAGTGAGGCACCGCCTAAGTGTTGACGATGGATTAGTGCTATTAGATCAAAGAATCGTTATCCCCACCTCTCAACGCGCAAAGGTCTTACATAGCCTACATTCTGCACACCAAGGCGAAGTTGGCATGAAGGCACGTGCCAATGAATCTGTTTATTGGCCCGGGATGAATGCTTAACATTAGAGCAGGTTGTACGTTCTGCTCAAAAATTGCCCCGAGTCAACCAAAAGAGCCAATCAACTTGACACCATCTCCTGATTGGCCATTTCAACAAATCGTCATAGACATCTTCCATGTTGGGAACCATGGTTACTTAGCATAACAGGCTGGCTAAATCTATACCACTTGAGCCACGGAGAAGCTAATGTGTCAAGGATTATTTCAATTTGCCGAGACATATTT